GACTGCAATATAGTGCAATATAGAAAAAGCAGGGTTTTTTTCAGCCCTGTGTGAGGCTTGCTCTCAGGTTTTAAAAGTGATTTTCAGAAGTAGCCTTCCTTAGCAGACATTTTCTGGGATGCAGTTAGCGTGCAACTTGCCAGGTGCCTGATGTGCAATTCAGTGACGTTTCCAGGCTGATTACTTGGATGGCTCTGAAGTGAAGGCATCTGGTTAGGACTGTTTGCTAGTGAGAAGAAAAGGCACTAATTAAATATTTCTTGCCTTTTCAGGTTTGACCCTCTGATTAGCCACTCTAAAAATCACTCCAGGGAAAACCACAAAGGTATCTTTAATACAGAGAGGCATGATTAAACATTTTTCTGCTAACAAAAAAAAGACGACAATCAGCTCCAGCAATGCTAGCAGGTTATTGCTGTACTCTAACTAACTCTTAACCCTTGCAAAGGCTTTCCCTGGCAAAGTAAAAAGCATGAGCTATCTGAAAGTTGCCAAAGAATCTCATTGACACACACCATTTAACCAAATTTACTTGTGTTCCCAAGCTAAATTTGCTGTCAAATATGTACCTATATCCTGACATGTAGATGGATATCTATTGTGCATCTTATTCTTTAAGGCAAACCATATTCCTGAATTTAGCATACCGCAAAGCCATAGCAGTGATTAGTAAACTGCTGTCATTGACAGCTTCTTACACCTGAACCTTTCACCCTCTTTGCAGTGAAAACAGTTCCAACGTGCCCACATTCAGATCACCAGAACTCTGATTTTATTCTTCAAATAACACACATGACAACTAGGAAGCTACCTCAATGACCACCATTTCCTTTGGTCTTTTACCAAAGCCATGGTGGGTTTGGGGAATCTTTTCATCTCTTTCTTATTAGCTAGTGCCTGGGAGGTCTTGACTCATAAAATTTCCTTGCTCGCTACCGCCAAAATTAAAGCCTTAATACCACAGCAAGATCTACATTAAGTTCACAGTGTCACAGACTTGTTCTCTGACCTTTGACAAAGTACTTTATCACAGGCATTTGTACAGCTTTGGTTTCAGTAATATATTTATACGGTCCCACACGTTGCAAGAGAAACTTCCTTATCAATGAAAGTATAACATAACTAGTATCAGTTCACCACTAAGACAAGTTGCAAGTAGTGCTTTAATTCCTTGCATTTCATAACATATATATACATACACACACTTCATAACTCTTTGGATGGATAATTCAGCAGTCTTCTAAAGGACGCATACCACACATACACAAAACCTGCACAACAGCCTTCAGTTGTAACAAGGGTCTCCATGAAAATATAAATATCCTTTGGCAGGATTTTTAAAATTAAATACTATTTCTGGAAAAATATTCCTGTCTACTAACAGGGGCACCTTCAGACTTAGTCTGAAAGTAAAAAATACTGCTAGATTTGCTAGCTGTAGTAAAGGACATAAAATGATATATTACAGGTTTTTAACATCGGATTGGCTGTAAAGCTTCAAATGTTTAAATTTTTTGTTTCAGTTTCATAGCCTCTATAACCTTTAAGATATCAGCAAGATTTCTGCAGACCCAAAGTGCACTAAAGTCTTAGATAAGATGGACCCCCAAAATTTCCCAGTTTGGAATTAAAACAAAATTCTGTAACTTAGCTCTGGGAAAAAGAAACCCTCAATGGTCCAGAACATAAGTGCCTCTCCAAGCCCACATCTCTATTTGCGTGTCCTTGTGACAAGACCTTAAGGCATTCAGAAGAGTGAAATGGAGCTGCTTTTACCTTTTACTTAAAGCACTCCCAAAACACCAACAGCCCTTTTGATCTTCAAAGGTAGTGTTATTGGACTGCAGACTACAGCAGGATAAAGAACACTCACTTCTGCCAGGTAAAACATGAAAATTGCAAACAAATCTCCTCCCTGTTCATTATGTCTGTGCACAGCACAGCCTTTCTTCTTCCTTTGCTCTCAGTCCAGCAGGGTTCCCCAAAGTTACAACAAGCTGTAGCTACAGAGGCTCCTTTGGATCCCTAGGAAATTTCCTTTTTCTTCTCCCCTTTGAAACTCAGATGTGAGTCTTTCGACTTTTCTCCACATCCCCACCTGCACTGCTAAATCCCAGCTCACAGTCTCCTACCTGCTTAACTCCTCCCCCGGGAACTTCCCCAGATGAGCTTTCTCAGGTGCTTTCTGGCACTGTCTTTGCCTCACCCTCCAAAAACAGCTCAGTCAGACTCAAAATTCAGTAGCAGACAGGACAAAAAAAGGAAACAGTCCTTCTCCTGCTGCATAGCCAAGTCCTTTTATCAGACAGGCCAGCAAAATACCATAAAAGGTGATGAAACACACACGAAAGGTACCACCTCCATCAGAGTTTGGGAAATGATGATGTGCGTGTCAGGCTGCACCAAGATGGTTCATCCAACAGAAACCTTTTCCAGTGATGTCTGCAATGCTACCAAGAAAGACCCTTATACCAGTAAGTACATTTAATTGTGCATCTCACTGATACCAGATACTATGGCTATTTTGTATATTCCTAACTTTTCTGCTTAGAACAGAAGGGCCATTTCTTTAAAATTAAGTTGAATCTTACTTTGGGTATATGTTGCTCTGTTTGTATGAAACTAGTGTGGAGGGGTTTAGCTTAAACACATATGATTCCCTGCAGAGATGCTACTCAAAAATCAGGAGAGAGTTTGGGATGTAAAATACATACAACCTACATGGTCCCAAACGTAGGCACATCCCTTGAAAATATTACTGTGATTTTGTGAGATTAAAGATTGAGTTATTATTTGTTTCTTTGACCTCTTACTCCGAGATATCTTGGAGAAGACCAGTCTTTACTATATTTAAACATATTTTCTGAATCCTTATCTGTTTGGATATGGTTTACAGAGGCACATGTCTTGGTTTTTGTCAGAGATAACTGTGGGGTTACACAGGTCTAAACATAACTCTTCATATCAGCAGTAAGACTCAAGGAAACTCTGAATTGCAGCACTTTATACTGAAGGGATCCCTAAATGATTCTTTTCTTCTCACAATCATTCAAGAACTTGAAAGTCCAAGGAGTAACCTCAAATATCTCATTCCCATAAATTTAACAGAGGTCACAGCATGGCCAATTCAGCTGAAAAGTGTTATTACAGAAAAACTTGATGATACTTTTATGTTCACTGATGTGAACATAATTCTCTGGGTCTTTTAGCTACATATAGCATGTCTTATTCATAGAGACACTTCAGCAGATATATATGGTACCATGAGCAAAGTTAAAAGTGATGAATTCTCTGATTTATAACTTCTACTGATAACAAGATGATAGAAAAATCTTAAACGTATGGGTGTTATTATAGACACTGTGCAACTTTGCTCAGCAGAGACAGGATGTGAAAGAAAAAAATATTTATCACACCTGAACTAGGGGGACACTTCTTTGAATGACCCTTGTTGCCCATAAAGAATTGAGATGATCTCTAACCAATGCACAAAAATATTAAAGATAGGGTGAGCTTTGCAGGTGCAAAGTGTGGATGTGTGTCTATAATCCTTCTTGCTTTTAAGGATCACACAAAGAAAGATGCATATATAGAAGAGTTTTTTCCCTGACCAATTTAGTCTTTTAAAGAAATCTCAAACTACTGAGTTGACATTGCACCTCGTAAAGATCAACCAGAGGATTTTAACTTTGTACACACAAGAAACTATTTATTATAGCTAAACGCATTAGTGATGAGGAGCTAAACAAACAGGCCAGATCCTCCTCTTTCCATTTTGAAGCTTTGGTGACTGGCAAAATTGGACTCAGGTCAGAGTCCCTTGGTTATACCCATGTAAAGTGAAGGCTGCACTTGCCCACATTGGGTTGCGGTTGCATATCAGTTCCGTAAGGGTGTTGGCATGATCCAAGAGTTTAAGCACACAACCCAGATAAATATTAATTTGTAAATCTTCATTAGAAATCTGCTTTTAAAGCTGATTCACAGTGAAGTCTTAGTCAGATGAAATCATTGCACACTGAACAACCCTGTTAGGGATGTTTATCCAAGCAAAGGACAGTCAATTGCATTTTCATTAGTCGCACTGTATGGTTATTGTCCTTAAAGACAAGACTTTTAGATTTAATCTATTTGTCTACAGTTGTATCTAAATGCTTACAGTTGAATTTTCTTAAGAACTGAAAGCTAATTCTTACTACTTTTTGGCATTACAAAATCAGGTTGGTTGTAGATTAAAGCAGTAAAGATTTGAGGACCGAAGGTGGTCATTCCCAGTATCATAGCTCTGACAGTGCTGAGGACTCTCAGGAAGTTTAGGGACTTGTGGGTTATCTAATTCTAATTATGCACATTATGAAAAAGAACATTATTTAATGAGAAAATCACTGGCTGTGATGAACAGCAGGCGATTTATCTATCAGGAAAAAAGTATTTGTTTTAAACAGAAAATATGTTTCTCTCTGCTAGATGTGATACAGCTCAAAAAGACAGGAAAGATGGTTTATATCATCCTTTTCACTTTCTATAGCAGTTTTCTGGAAGGAAAAGTCCCCCCATTAAATGAGGAGGAGAGTGTACAGTTTCCTTGCCTTATATGGCTCTCTGCTGTCCTACGTGTGGGACAAAAGCAGCAGAGCCTAAGGTAGAGTTCACCACTGGCTACTGAAATACGTAAAGAGCTGTCTGAAACTCCTCCTTCAACCTCAATCTCAAGACAGCAATGGATTTTGGGAGCCTGAAGTTGAGCCTTTTTTTTTTTAAATAGAGAAAAATGTAGTTTCTTTCTTAAAAGTGCTTTTCTACTTTTTAGCTTATTATCTGCTCTCTTGACTATTCCTTCTAGGAAGATGACGCTGCCTATCATATTATGTTCATATGTATTTGTACTGATTTTTGTAGTGCTAACTTTAGCTAAAGTCTGGGTATATTTTACAAAAAGCATTTTTACCTAGCAAAATGTGTATTATAACATCAGTAAATAACTTTTTTTTCTTGTACAGCTTTGCAGTAAAGGTGTTGCTGTAGTCAATCCCTTCAAGGCATCTCCAGAAGATATTTCCAGTATCGTCAGTTTTATTGAGGCAAAGCTTGTAGCCTGCTACTTAAAACTGGGGAAGCCTGATGATGCTCTGAATCATTCACACAGGTAAAAATAAATATTGATTAGATACACTGCTAAGACTGAGATCCAAAATTAAACAAAGACTATGAAAAAATCCTGTGCAGGAAGAATCGGTCTAATAATGAGAAGAGGGGGATAAATAAAACATGGCTGACACATGGCACTGATGTTTAGATTGAACCAATTCTCAAAATTTGAGACATTAAGCCATAATAACAATGTATATATTTGCTGCTTTGATAATGCACTAGGTAAGGATATGCAGGTGAGTCATGTACATAGTTCAGGGCACCCTTAAGATTGGAGCTAGACAAATATAAACATGCTCAGCCTTATATGACAGTAATGATATTATGAGCTCTTGATCTTTTTCAATCCAGATTAGGTCAGGGATGACTTCAAATTATTTTCATTACATATTTCCTCATGGGCTCACTTGTGATCCACATCAAAGACCAGCACCACTAGCAACGCATAAAGAAACCAGACACAAAATTTGCACATGGAGGAGATGAAATTCCCATTAGTTTCAGATGAGTTAGGATTTTGCTGGGTTTGTGCTGTCTTTAATTAGCACTCAGGCATAATGATAGTTTCTGTTAAGAGCATGCATTTCCAGCTAGCAACACTTCATGGCTGAGATCTCTGTTCATTTTTTCCCCCTGTATGAGTTGTATCAGGATGGACACTGCAATTAGTGCAGGGTGAGGATTTTTTCATACAATCATCTCAAATGAATGTATCTACAAAAGAGTAGATACAACAAAAGAGGAAGCACATGCTTGTGCCTAATGCACAGGAGGCAGTGGTGAAGAATAAAGCATTGGTGTAGAAATGCAGTGCCATCATGGCAGCAGGTTCATTTAGCTGCATGCCAAGTCATGGGAAGTCTGAGCATCCTGACTTAATGACAAGGCCTTTGTCTCCCATCCCCACTCATCCCAATCCAATCCCTTTCCCAAGCACTTTTTGTCCATAAGTGCTTTTGTCCATAAGTGTTGGTCACTTCCAACCCAATACATTCTATGATTCTATGATAAAGTTCTGCCTACCTGGAGCCTATCCACATTGTGGCGGGGCATCCTTCAGACTAGTCCCATGTACCATCTGGGCTGGCGGGCCAATTGCCCATGGATGGTTAGAGAACAGTAGGTGCTTTCCCAGGGCACATCTAGTGGGCACACAAACTGTATTCATTCAGGTGGAGTATTCTGTTAGATAAGACAAAGCAGAGAAAGTGGGGAAGACTGCAAGATTCTCTTTAAAAATAAAAATGGATAAATAAAAACAACAACTGAAAAAAATGCACTCCTCATGCAAACTGAAAACCAACATTTTTTCACTGCTTCTCAAAGACCGTGTTAGAAAAGAAAAAAAAGATATAAAGTTTGATTGGACTCCCAACTTTTGGAAAAATGGTAATGCTAACTAAGTGTGCTAACTGCTAAATCACAGTTAATTTTCAAGAACACTAAAATAAGGAAGCTATTCAGAGAGTATAAATATAACTAGAACAGGAAATATTTTTCTTACCACCTTTAGACTACCTTGGTTTCAACATTGCAAGATGTACTGACACCAGTGAAACTAAAGCCTATTCAGACATGTTTTGGTTTCAATTGTCTTAAAACAGAAACCATGACCTACAAAAACCCATGACGCTCAGAGAAAATAAATTTAGACTGAGATCACCGGGAAACCGATGTAAAAAAAAATCTTCACTCTTCTTTTTAATATATGATTTAAACAATTTCTTCTTAACTTCTTTAGTTACGTAACACAAAGAAAAGTGGCAATTAGTAATGGCTACTTTTAATATAATTCATTTAATAACTTGCAGAATGAGAATAAATCTACTGACTATGGTTGTTACATTGTAAAATGCAGAAACTGATACAATACTATACCAGTAAAAAAATATTCTGAGGCATAGTTAACATAAAGACAAAACGTGAAATATAATCAATAGCTATATTTTTCAAAAAGAACAAGTAAATTACTCTGAGCTCTCCTACTAAAAATATCTTACTGCTATCAGTTAACTAGTACACATTGAATTTTTATTCCCTTTGAGTTTTTATGTCATCACCACATTGTAATGGTTTGCTGATAATCCTTTGGCATTAATCATTAATCCAAATTAAAATATTCATTTCTGCATGTATTTGCATTTACTGAACTATTCTTTCTTTAATTTCATGTAAATTTCACAGCTCCTGCATTTATTTCTGAAGCCTTATTAACAAAAAAATCAGCTTGAATATTCTCACACGTAGTTGTATCAAATATATAGAAGAGGGTTTTGCTGGGAAGAAATCTTATGAAATATCAGAACTAGAGAAATGGAGAAAATAAAGAATAATTCCAGCAGCTCGGTTTTAAAGTGTTCAAGAACAAGGCATCTTCAGGGGAATAGCTTTCCCACTCTTAAGAAAGAAAATTGACTGCAATTTGTATCGTCACTTCTAGATCCTGTATGAGAAGCCAAGTTTGGGTCCTTCTGGAAAGTGGAAATTGTATTCACTGGTTTCTTAATATCAACATTTAAGGCTGCCTTTAGCATCACTGGCACAATTGAGGACACCGGCTGGGTTCTGATCATTTGTCAGGCTGATACAAAAGATTTACCCTTTGCAATCAAACACTATTAAAACCACTTCTCATCTGTCACTGCTCTGAACAAACATGCCATCGACCTCACCAAGCAACATCTGCAGTAACCTACTTGACCACCACTTTTCATCATAAGATAGCCATCAAAATAATTCCTAACTTACAGGCTGAAGCTATAAAATGAATCACACAATATTTGCATGCCCTGTGGTCCTTTTGGCCCAGGCATTATGGCATACCAGGGTTTAATGATCTTAATAACCCCATATGGCTTGCTGAGAAATTAGATTTTCCCTTTGGTTGCAGAAGGCAATTTTCAATTATAGCAGATGGCAAAACAGTGAAGGTCTGAGAAGTCAAGAACTGACTAAGAAACCTCAGATTAGTACTTAGGCCTTATGTTGCTCAGCCTAATAATGTCAGTGGTTGAATTTTTACCCCCAATGAAAACAGTCTTGAAGCAGAGCACAGTGTTTCAGCAGAGCAATCCCCCAATTATGCCTGCTTTTCAGAGGGCCAGGCCCAACAGAGAAATCCATAAAGCTGCAGTCACATGTGGAAAAACAACCCAGAGTGCATCACGTACACAGCTCAGCCACTGTTAAGATTCAGTTCTGTTTGAAATTGGACAAAGCAATGCTGAACTCCATGACAACTAAAGATGGAGGATCCTTCAAAACATGATATACACTACTTTCTCAATGAGAGTCTATATCCCCTTACAGTTTGTTTATTTTGCTTTTTTTCCTCTAAGCAAGCTAAAATACATGTGCATTGACACTATGTGACTTGCTGTTTGCATGTGGGAAAATAACACAGAACCTTTCTACTGGAAATATGTTTTTTGCCGCTGCACTTACGCTTCCTCAGCTGCTATGGTCCTCATGGCACAGAAGATTTGAAGAATGACAGAGACATGGCTTGGTCCAGTTGCCTAAACAGAGACCGGTGTTTGTAGAGATCTTGTATGTGGATCAAGCACTAGAAAATGTTGAAGAGGTTAAAATCACCTACGCAGCAACAAGTGACAAAAAGCATTTTGTTTCATTTCTGCCTACTTTTGATCACTCCTTGCCCAGCTGTAGCGAGGCTGCTGGTCCCATAGGACTCCTCAAGGGGAATGAGGCTGCCTACCTATAGGTGCAGTCACACCTCTTCCCAATGGGATTGCTGTGGTGCCGTAGGAAGCCCACAGCTGGTGGTGGGAGGTGCGTTGGGACGCATCATCTGGAAGGATGCTTGCTCCCTGCCCCCTCCCAGAGCATCCCTTGGCTTCACTCCCTCCCCTCCTTTCCTCAATCTGAAAATTGCAGATTTAAGGGGAGAGGCGAGGAAGAGGAATTGGACACTGTGGCATGTGTCCTTAACATTATCTCTAAGTAATGCCTGAAAAATATGTTCACAATAATGGGGACTGCTGAATGGAGCTATTCAAAATCTTTGGGGGTTAGCAAAGACTTTCCTGTGTCCTTGCAGACTCTGCTCCACAGCATGACCCACTGCCAATTTTCTCCCTCCATCCCAGAAAGGCGATGCATACAGAATGTAACAAATCTGTAAAGCTTTTTCTGCAATGCCATTTTATGTGTTTGGTGGAAGGCAGAGCTCTCTAATGCCTCTTGCACAATTCATAGGGAGACATATGAAGTAGAAAATAGCACCTCTGTTAAGTAGTACACGATTGCTTTAGTGATGAGTTAACAGAGGGAATCTCTTATGGAGGCACAGTGGGAAAAAAAAAATCTAAAACAGCTGAAACCTCACAGATTTAATTCTAAAACCTCTACTTTTTCCCAATGACTTTTCAAACACTTACAAAATGTTTAAAATAATTATTAGTGATCAAGCTTTAAGCAATATCTGTCATTAAAAAAAGGCATCTCAAAGTTTGGCCAGTCTATTACAGACAGGATAAATCAAGACTCTTTAGTCCAGATTAGTTCAGAATTTTCAGATTAAAAATTCAATATTCAGCTACTTCTTCATTCCCTAGCTTCCTTATTTTGCACCTTTAAAACAGAACTATATTAAAGTAAGTTGAAGAATGGAATTCTAGTGAAATATTAAATAATCAAAAATAAATAATGCAAAGATGCTATGATACAGTGCAGTCAGTGACTATTAAAATGGAAACAGAGTAGAAGAGGAGCTAATAGAAGAAGAGCTTAAGAGGAGCATAGATTTTTAGGTAGAAGTAGAAAAATGACAAACATAATGGCTGATGCTGTTAATCTGTGGGAAGTCTGTAGTGTAGTGTATACTGTGCTCTAAACTACTCTCCTAATCTCTTTATCTCATCAGAAAAGGGAAGAAAAGGGAAGAGAAGAATTAGCAGCACCTAATTACTTCAGCAATTGTGTTAGGCATATTGCAATATACATAATAGATGAGATATTGTTAATACAAAGCTA